AAGCAACGAACAAAAAAAAAGTACAAAAATATGTAGAATCGAAAGTTGCTGTAGGCGGTAAGGAGCGAACATTGTCGTCACCTACTAGGAAACATCAACTTTGCTTCCACCCCTTCCCAGAATGATAAACTATGACTGTCTAACTAGAGGAGAAGCTATCATTACAAACTACTTAACAAAAATGGAGTTGTTAAAACAGGATAGGGGACTTAGAAGTTTCCCCCATGTCTTCACCCGATCTTTATGTTATTTGTCTTTTGTTGCTTTATATTTGGAGATCTAAATCCAAGAGCAGCTTAAGAGCTGATTTAACAGTTCTTAGAGAGAACAGATTCACAGTCCGTGCAACAATCATCAGATGGATAACCGAAAAGCTGTTCTTTGATGCAATGCGCAAGAATAAATATTTTTGTTACAAGTTACAAGTCATCTTCTTGAATTTTTTGAAATTACAGGATGCATTCGGTTGTTAACTGGAGCATGGAATTAAAGAGATTGAGGAGTCTCTTACCTCTGAAGGCCACAAATTATCCCTGCTTTGCGAGGAATTATGGGGAAATGAGTCTGAAAATTAAATAGTTTCTGTAAGGTTAGCGAATGAAAAAAAAAATGCTAAATGGAAGCAGTGATATTCTTTAGAGAAGCAGTTAAACTTGCATGAAATATAGTTCAAACTCAAATATCTGCTCAGTACAAACATTAAAGTGTCTCTATGTTTAGAATGATAAAACGACTACATTCAAAACTGTTATTTTTTATAGTGGAAATCCTAGGTGGCGTGATCTCATCTTTTAGAATTGAGATAGATGGTAATGATTGAGAGAATTGGATTCTCTTCGATTACCACCTAATTAAGGGGAATTTGAGTCCTAATTTTTTACTAACAATCACAGCATATCAAACAAAGGTAATTAAGCACTTGTTGATGGTCTTAATCACACAGGTAAATTAATATGAACTGAGTTGATTATAGGCCGTTAACTTCTCTGAATATCTGGTTTTGAGTTGGGTTGTTCTTCCCTGCACGTGTAGCAACTCGTAAGAGGACGGGTTTATTTCCTCTGTTGTTCCTCTGACGATCAAGTTAGCGAGGTACTTGAGTGGGGGAAAATAGTGAACGATATTAGTTCAACGGTAGTGAAATGGAGAAAAGTGTAGGAAAATTACTTACCTTTGCATTGAGAATAGTTTTCCCTTTTATAGTCATGTAGGAGGGGCATTTTGGTCTCTCTCGGCTGACTCTGAGCTGGCGGCTGAGTCAGTATCATCTTTACATGTGTCGGCTGTGGAGTGGTCACGGAATGGGCGCGATCACTTCATCATTAATGAGATGGGATAGGCGGCGTACGAAGCCGGCGTGATCCGATGTGCCATAAATTATGTCGATGATGGAGAAATGATGACGTCTGCCAAGCATTTAATGTGATGTCGACGCACTGTCAGCGGTGGTTTCGAGGATAAAGTCGTTTTTTTGCATGTATCGAGGAGTGTCGAGAAGTACTATCTTTCGAGTCGGTTCCCGTGAGACGCCGATGAATTAACCAGTTGAGTAGGCTTGTGACAAGTCATCTTTGACGAGGAGACCAACAAGTACCACCATTCGAGTCGACCCAGCGAGACGCCGACTCAGTGAGCCGGCTAGATCGGGATCCTGACAGTCCTAAGGGCCGAGTTGACTGAATTAGGCGTAATGAGGGATATTTGCCTATTGTTGATAAGGGATCATAATTTGGCGACTGAAAACACCATAACAGCACCAAATCAATGCATCTGGTTGAATCCTATCCATTCATTGAACATATAGGAAACTTACTTGTTTACTATTACACAAACTACCAAATCGAATATAATTAGATAAGCTAAGGTGCTTCTTATCGATAATATTGTACTTCTCCAACTCTAACCCGGAGCATGTTATATAAATTAGCAGACTAAACAACAATTTCAATAATCGAGAGGCTAATTCAAAATATGAAACTTTCAAGGGCCCAATATTTTTTTTTTTTAAAACCCTTTTAGAATGATGAAACCAAACCTGATCCACCCCAACCCTAACCGGATCTAAACAATAACGGGCCGGGTTAAACATTCCAATCCGTACCCAAATCACATGATTCATACGCGACGCCCAAACCAAACACCCGCTGGAAAATTCTACAAGCATGTGCCCCCTCCTCCCGAAAGTCTCCCTCACAAATTTAATTCGTCCCCAGCCTTTTTCTCTTTTATAGACAACCCGCAAACAATCAATAATAGCAATGATGATGAGACCCATTATCTCTTTACTCCTACTCCTCTCTCTAGCCCCTCTCTACCTCTCTCCACCGCCGCCCGCCTCCACAAGGTCCTCCGTATTTACAGTCCGGCCCCCTCCGCCCTCAGTCCGATATATAGCAGCTGTTAACTCTTCTTCTTATTTTTTGTGTGCGTTAGCCGTGGTCGAGTGACGAGGAGAACAGTGCCGTGTACACAGGGCTGATGCGTACTCCGGACGCGCGTCGATCGGACAGGCCGCGGGACCGACTCCGTCCATCAGCGTGGCCCCTCCGCCGGGGCCGGCACGGGGGCATGGGGTCCAGATCACCGACCTGGTCTCGTGGGGGCGGCCTCATGGCCGCGGACCACGACTACTTCGAGAGGGCGACCTCGACATCTTCAGCGGGCGCGGGCCCTGCCTGCGCAGCCCCCCGTGCTGGATGAACCCTGACCTCGGACGGGAGGCGGCCCCCACCACGGGTGGTACTGCAACTACGTCGAGGTGACCACCACCGGGCCCCACGCGGGGTGCGCCCAGCAGACTTTCGAGGTGGAGCAGTGGCTGCCACCGACGCGTCCCCGTACCAGCTCGTACGCCGTCCGGGACATCTGCCCGGAGACTGAGGCGGCGGGAGGCGGGGCCCGGGTCGATCATGCCACGTGAGGCCGCGTGCGCTGAGGCTGGAGCCTAGCTGTCGTTTTTTTGCTATTATTGATAGCGGGTGGCCTGCCTGTCCGTGTGTGTGTGTAAACTGCTTAATTAGGATGTGGTGATGTATCGGTGATTAATAAATAAATGAATGAACGAGGCTGATGCGTTGAGCGGTACGGTGTTCCGCCTGATCGGCCTGGCTTTGTCTGGGGGCGCCGCGTGGGCCTCCATCGTCCGGATTTCGATAGAATGCGGGTGGGCCCAGAGTTGTTGTTTGTTGTTCGCACCTAAAATAATAATGTTCGTACCGATATGAGTTGGAGTCGTTGTCTGGGCGTTGTGCTGTTCCATAGGTTGCCGCGTGATATTGAATCAGTGTGGTCGTTTACATTATTAAGTTATTTAAGGAGGCGGGGTAAATATCAGGGACGCCCCTTAACTTGGGACGATTGCCAGAAATGCCCCCTTCAACTTTCAAATTATTAGACGGCCCGCCCCCTAAAAAATATAGTGATTATCACGGAAGTCCACTTTAGGTTTGAGATTTTATTAGAAAATTCCCCTTTATCTTTGAATTTTTATCGGAAAATCCACCTAAATGCTGGGTTTTTCCAATATGTAGGGAGTTTTTTTTTTAATAAAAACACAGAGCCAAAGGGTGGTTTTCTGATAACTCCTAAATCTAAGGGGTTTTCTTTTATTTTGAAAGTTAAGGGGGTTTATGATATTTAGCCTTGATAGTATTCATGAATGTTTGATTTCTTTTCTTCTTTTTTTTAATGTTTATTCGTGATTGAATTAGAAACTTCAACGAACTTATGTGTATGTAATTATCATCTGATCTGCTGACTAATGAAATCAAACTGTTCAACAAGTAACCAGATAAATTTCATGTTTATCTCTTTGGGGGTTTTTGTATTTAAACCAAATTAACCAGGGATTTGAACTTGATTGGACTGAAGCGCAGGGGATCTGGATTTGGATCTTGAGTACGGCCACGTGGGCTATGTCTTGTCAACGAGGGGGGGAAAAACAAAGGGTTAAATAGCACTTCAACACCTTATAGTTCAACTCCTTCGCGCTTCTATATCCTCAAATCGTCTTTTGTCATTTATGTACCTCAGTTGTGTAAAATTGAAACATTAACATTCTCTGTTGCATGGTAATTTGTAACTTCCTAACTGTTAATTTTTTGTTAAGTTTATTGTTAAATCTATCCAAATTCTATATCTAAAAATTGAATTATGTATGTAATAGAAATTATTAACGTGAATGACGTACGAGACAAAACTCTGAAGTTAACATGTGAATATTATATAAGAGAATATTTGGATGAAATTTTTTACTTTTATATAACAAAAATTATTAACGTGTCAATTTCTTAGGAGCCAAAATCTTACTTTTATATAATATAAATTATTAATATGTTGATTTTAAATAGCTTAGGAATCAGAATTTTACTTTTTATATAATAAAAATTATTAATGTATCGGTTTTAAACAGCTTAGGAATCATTATACGTGAATTCTATAGAAAACAACTAGGGACATATAAGTGCAAAGTGAGAAAACTATAAGGTGTTTAAGTGCTATTTACCTCAAAGATAGCGATGGCTGTTATTGGACTTAGTCCCAGACTTTAATGAAAAAGCGAGTGTTTTGTTCGGCACATGGTACAGAGCATTATTGAACAATAGTAGAGTCCACTTTGAATTTAGGGTTTCTTTCTTCTTCTTCTTTTCCTTTTTATCTTTTTTGGGATATCCCTCTCGGATCTGGTAAAGAATTATTTATTATTTATTTGTTTATTTTTTGTTATTTTTTCATTTTTGAGAGATCCAGTAAAGAATTAGATGGAGGTTTTAAGATAGAAAACTCTGGCCCCGTTTGACAAAGGGTTAATGAAGAGGGGTTAAAGAGAATGATTAATGTACTTAGCCCATTTGATAATCCGAATGACTAAATTATTAACCCGTTAAATAAATTTTATTTTAGCCCTTATGATCAGTTTTAATGTTTGGGAATAACAATGATTTTGACTATTTTCTTTATAATTAGAAGGGTTAACTCTTATTCCATCTAAATAGGAGTATTAGTAAACCCCTCATTTTGAGGGGTTAACTCATTTTAACCCCTCTAGAGGAGTTAACTTAACACTTCTATATTTTTTATGTTTGGCAAATTATGAAGGGTTAACTCACTTTAACCCTTATATAGATTTGTTGTGTTTAGCAGGTTAAGAAGGGGTTAAGTCTCCTTAACCCCTCACTTAACCCTTTGCCAAACGGTACCTAATAGACTTAATATGCGGACATGTGGTTTTGGAGTGGTTCTTTTTTCGCTCCACGAAAGAGGAAATGAGTTTTTCATTTTCTTGTTCCTTCGTTTTTTTCTACAAAGCAAGATATCAATTATATTTATACCACAACCTAAATTTTTATGTGCAGGATATTCAGCCAACTATAACATATTTGTTTTTTTTAATGTATATAACCGCTTAAATCATTTTTTAAGAAAATTACGCTTAAAACAATCAATTGTTGAAGGAAAATATGCATATTTTCTAAATTAGAAAATCATCAACATTGATAGACTAATTTGTAACTAAAAAAATATCAATAAAGTAGTCATATACTTTTACTCACCATATCCAACTCGGATGGTAACTTATCAATTTGGGGTTTTTTAGACATGATGAATATGTCACAGTTTGATTGCAACTCAACACAGAAGTAATAAATCTCAGAATCCATCAAGTGATATTTTTTGAATCCATGAGGAACAATATTCGAATTCACGAAGAAATACAAATCCACGAAGAGAATATAATAAAGAGAACATTTATTGATGAAAAATTATGGCTCTAGACTTACTATCATATGCTTAAATAAAAAAACAAACAAGACTCCTACTAACACCCGAACTTTATTAAAAATATAAATAACAAAACTCTCCTTAAAAAACTTCTCATGATTGAGAAAACAAACCAATCAAATTTAGAATCAAATCGGATATATTTTCTAATCAAAACGAACTTCTAAAACATAACCCAAAATAGTAAAAAAACTAAAAAGAAGTCTGATATCTCTCAATTTGGAGGGTTTTGAACAAACGGCGGCAAACCAAACAATAGTTTGTTTGGTGGACACCATCTTGAAAAAATACCTGATTTTTATATATAACTCGTCAAATTTCAACGTACGGTTTGGGAGATATAACTCCTTATTCGTTGCAAGTTGTTTTCGTTGGAAATTGTTTTCATTATGGAATCTATTAAAACTTCAGTCGCTTACAATGAATTACACAACAAAAAGAAAACGTTACAATTTCTTTAGAAAATAACACAGAAATTATTTATCAACTCCTTCTTTTGTGGGATCTTCGCCTGTGCCGGGGGTGTGTTAGCCTGTGGACCACCGATTCACAGATTCTGATTGAATCGTGAAGACTTTGGGGATTCTTCCTTCGTTTAGATGTAAGAATAGAGTTAGTGAATATCTTATCGAAGTAAGATGAATATTCTTCTCAAGATCAAGTCAAAGCTTAGATCTTAAGGAACCTCCTAATTGTTGAAAGGAGATGAACTGTTGAAATTCGCTCAAGCCTTTTTAAAATCTTTGACCAATTGCTCTAGTAATAGCCTCTCTGCTCTCTGTGCCTCTGCTCTTTGGATTCGCTCCAAAAATGCTCCCAGAAGGGTATTTATAGCCCCTGAAAATCGTAACTGAAATAGAACATCATGGGTAGAAATCGTGCTTCCGAGACAGTCGTGACTGTCTCGGCTTCCGAGACAGCTCTGACTGTCTCGGAACGCCTGAACTGCCCAGCAGTTTTCTTGTAACTGCTCTCCCACATTTTACATATCGTTATTTTGGTAGTTATCAACGTGATTCTCGCCCTCAACGTCTCCCACGTTCTTTGATAGTTAATGGCCACGTGTCATGCATATGCTTCAGCGGTTTTTTGAACCCTCAGTACTATCTCGGACCGTGAGACAGTCCATACTGCCTCGCCACGCGAGACAGTCTTGACTGCCTCGGGATTTCCGAGATAGCTTCAGGCTATTCTTGTGTTCTTTTAATCTTTGGATGATCCTCTCTGACTTTAGATAATCCTCCTTGACTCTGATAATAACATTCATCGTTTTTTCTTCATCTTGATCTGTGTGCGAGAACCTATAGGTAATTTTTTATGCCTACAGATACCCCCCAAAGTATTTCAGCCTCATTCTTTTATAAAAGAGGCTGAAATACTTTGGATATGATACGCCTGGCCGTTAATTCGTTGACTTCTTCAACTTTTAGTCTATTCAGTTTTTTGTCGGATAGCTGAAATTTTTTCGGTGTTGCGTTTATCGCTTGACCATTGTCAAAATCTTGAACTGAAGCTGGCGTGTTGATTTTTTGAATTAGCTCGTGTCGTTGGGTTGACGTTGAACTAATCACCTTCGTCAAGCGTTTGTATCTAAGTCACGATTGAACTTCCTGAATTAATTCCTTGAACTGACATTTCATCCTGAGCCTTGTTTCGATGGTGAGGCGGGTTCAATTGTCCCGCTTAAAGAAAGGTGGCCTTCGGGCTGAATTTGTGTCTTCCTTGAGTTTGGCAGAGCTTAAACTTTATTATGATTATTTATCCTACTCAAAATAAATACTTATAGGATTTTTTGGTAAATCATCAACCATCAACGGATTTGATAAGGCTTTACCGACTACCATTTGAATCGGGCTAACATGCAAATTGTTTAAGTCCGTTCTACATGTAACGTTGTGCTAAGAGAATAAACTCTCTTAGAGTTGGTGCTATGATGTTGAATATATAGGTTTGGTCATTTTTGCGGGAACGTATCACCCGGCAACGTGTGTTAGATGTAGACTTATCTCTAATAAGGGACTGAGAAAACATCCCCCACTATAAAACATGGATTTAAAAATGTTGATGGGTTACGTCTTTTTGGTAAAAAGATGAACCCGACACTGCAGAGGAAGAATTTTATATTCTATCTCCTGGTCTCTTTTTTGTAGGTAGAGATGAACCCAATGATGGAGAGGAAGAATTTTATATTCTATCTCCTGGTCTCTTTTTTGTTGGTAGAGATGAACCCGATGATGAAGAGGAAGAATTTTATATTCTATCTCCTGGTCTTTTTTTATTGGTAGAGATAAACCCAATGCTGGAGAGGAAGAATTTTATATTCTATCTCCTGCTGTAAAAGAAACTTAAAGTATGATCTTCACTTCGAGAATCTGAAGGGTGAAACTAAGAGTGGGATTGTAGGCTGTCTAAAAATCAAATTAGATAGCTGATCCCCCAT